CTGAGGAGGATCTACTGCTGAGGAGGATCTACTGCTGAGGAGGATCTACTGCTGAGGAGGATCTACTGCTGAGGAGGATCTACTGCTGCTGAGGAGGATCTACTGCTGCTGAGGAGGATCTACTGCTGAGGAGGATCTACTGCTGAGGAGGATCTACTGCTGAGGAGGATCTACTGCTGACGAGGCTCTACTGCTGAGGAGGATCTACTGCTGAGGAGGAGGATCTACTGCTGCTGAGGAGGATCTACTGCTAAGGAGGATCTACTGCTGCTGAGGAGGATCTACTGCTGAGGAGGATCTACTGCTGAGGAGGAGGATCTACTGCTGAGGAGGCTCTACTGCTGCTGAGGAGGATCTACTGCTGAGGAGGAGGATCTACTGCTGAGGAGGATCTACTGCTGAGGAGGATCTACTGCTGAGGAGGATCTACTGCTGAGGAGGCTCTACTGCTGAGGAGGAGGATCTACTGCTGAGGAGGCTCTACTGCTGCTGAGGAGGATCTACTCCTGAGGAGGAGGATCTACTGCTGAGGAGGATCTACTGCTGAGGAGGATCTACTGCTGAGGAGGAGGATCTACTGCTGAGGAGGATCTACTGCTGAGGAGGCTCTACTGCTGAGGAGGCTCTACTGCTGAGGAGGAGGATCTACTGCTGAGGAGGATCTACTGCTGAGGAGGATCTACTGCTGCTGAGGAGGATCTACTGCTGAGGAGGATCTACTGCTGCTGAGGAGGATCTACTGCTGCTGAGGAGGATCTACTGCTGAGGAGGAGGATCTACTTCTGAGGAGGATCTACTGCTGAGGAGGATCTACTGCTGAGGAGGAGGATCTACTGCTGAGGAGGATCTACTGCTGAGGAGGCTCTACTGCTGAGGAGGAGGATCTACTGCTGAGGAGGATCTACTGCTGCTGAGGAGGATCTACTGCTGAGGAGGAGGATCTACTGCTGAGGAGGCTCTACTGCTGAGGAGGATCTACTGCTGAGGAGGATCTACTGCTGAGGAGGAGGATCTACTGCTGAGGAGGATCTACTGCTGAGGAGGCTCTACTGCTGAGGAGGAGGATCTACTGCTGAGGAGGATCTACTGCTGCTGAGGAGGATCTACTGCTGAGGAGGAGGATCTACTGCTGAGGAGGATCTACTGCTGAGGAGGAGGATCTACTGCTGAGGAGGATCTACTGCTGAGGAGGCTCTACTGCTGAGGAGGAGGATCTACTGCTGAGGAGGAGGATCTACTGCTGAGGAGGATCTACTGCTGAGGAGGCTCTACTGCTGAGGAGGAGGATCTACTGCTGAGGAGGATCTACTGCTGAGGAGGAGGATCTACTGCTGAGGAGGATCTACTGCTGAGGCGGATCTACTGCTGAGGAGGCTCTACTGCTGAGGAGGCTCTACTGCTGAGGAGGATCTACTGCTGAGGAGGATCTACTGCTGTCTATAATGTGTGGTGTGTGTATAATGTGTGTGTGTCTATAATGTATTGTGTGTCTATAATGTATGGTGTGTGTATAATGTGTGTGTGTCTATAATGTATGGTGTGTGTGTATAATGTGTGTGTGTCTATAATGTATTGTGTGTCTATAATGTATTGTGTGTCTATAATGTATGGTGTGTCTATAATGTATTGTGTGTCTATAATGTTTGGTGTGTGTATAATGTGTGTGTGTCTATAATGTATGGTGTGTGTATAATGTGTGTGTGTCTATAATGTATTGTGTGTCTATAATGTATTGTGTGTCTATAATGTATGGTGTGTGTGTCTATAATGTATGGTGTGTGTGTGTCTATAATGTATTGTGTGTCTACAATGTATTGTGTGTCTATAATGTATGGTGTGTCTATAATGTATTGTGTGTCTATAATGTTTGGTGTGTGTATAATGTGTGTGTGTCTATAATGTATGGTGTGTGTATAATGTGTGTGTGTCTATAATGTATTGTGTGTCTATAATGTATTGTGTGTCTATAATGTATGGTGTGTCTATAATGTATTGTGTGTCTATAATGTATGGTGTGTGTATAATGTGTGTGTGTCTATAATGTATGGTGTGTGTGTGTGTCTATAATGTATTGTGTGTCTACAATGTATTGTGTGTCTATAATGTATGGTGTGTCTATAATGTATTGTGTGTCTATAATGTATGGTGTGTGTATAATGTGTGTGTGTCTATAATGTATGGTGTGTGTATAATGTGTGTGTGTCTATAATGTATTGTGTGTCTATAATGTATTGTGTGTCTATAATGTATGGTGTGTGTGTGTCTATAATGTATTGTGTGTCTACAATGTATTGTGTGTCTATAATGTATGGTGTGTCTATAATGTATTGTGTGTCTATAATGTTTGGTGTGTGTATAATGTGTGTGTGTCTATAATGTATGGTGTGTGTATAATGTGTGTGTGTCTATAATGTATTGTGTGTCTATAATGTATGGTGTGTGTATAATGTGTGTGTGTCTATAATGTATGGTGTGTGTGTGTCTATAATGTATTGTGTGTCTACAATGTATTGTGTGTCTATAATGTATGGTGTGTCTATAATGTATTGTGTGTCTATAATGTTTTGTGTGTGTATAATGTGTGTGTGTCTATAATGTATGGTGTGTGTATAATGTGTGTGTGTCTATAATGTATTGTGTGTCTATAATGTATTGTGTGTCTATAATGTATGGTGTGTCTATAATGTATTGTGTGTCTATAATGTATGGTGTGTGTATAATGTGTGTGTGTCTATAATGTATGGTGTGTGTGTGTGTCTATAATGTATTGTGTGTCTACAATGTATTGTGTGTCTATAATGTATGGTGTGTCTATAATGTATTGTGTGTCTATAATGTATGGTGTGTGTATAATGTGTGTGTGTCTATAATGTATGGTGTGTGTGCGTGTCTATAATGTATTGTGTGTCTACAATGTATTGTGTGTCTATAATGTATGGTGTGTCTATAATGTATTGTGTGTCTATAATGTTTGGTGTGTGTATATAATGTGTGTGTGTCTATAATGTATGGTGTGTGTATAATGTGTGTGTGTCTATAATGTATTGTGTGTCTATAATGTATTGTGTGTCTATAATGTATGGTGTGTCTATAATGTATTGTGTGTCTATAATGTATGGTGTGTGTATAATGTGTGTGTGTCTATAATGTATGGTGTGTGTGTGTCTATAATGTATTGTGTGTCTACAATGTATTGTGTGTCTATAATGTATGGTGTGTCTATAATGTATTGTGTGTCTATAATGTTTGGTGTGTGTATAATGTGTGTGTGTCTATAATGTATGGTGTGTGTATAATGTGTGTGTGTCTATAATGTATTGTGTGTCTATAATGTATGGTGTGTCTATAATGTATTGTGTGTCTATAATGTATGGTGTGTGTATAATGTGTGTGTGTCTATAATGTATGGTGTGTGTATAATGTGTGTGTGTCTATAATGTATGGTGTGTCTATAATGTATTGTGTGTCTATAATGTATGGTGTGTGTATAATGTGTGTGTGTCTATAATGTATGGTGTGTGTATAATGTGTGTGTGTCTATAATGTATGGTATGTGTGTGTGTCTATAATGTATTGTGTGTCTACAATGTATTGTGTGTCTATAATGTTTGGTGTGTCTATAATGTATTGTGTGTCTATAATGTATGGTGTGTGTATAATGTGTGTGTGTCTATAATGTATGGTGTGTGTGTGTGTCTATAATGTATTGTGTGTCTACAATGTATTGTGTGTCTACAATGTATTGTGTGTCTATAATGTTTGGTGTGTGTATAATGTGTGTGTGTCTATAATGTATGGTGTGTGTATAATGTGTGTGTGTCTATAATGTATGGTGTGTGTATAATGTGTGTGTGTCTATAATGTATTGTGTGTCTATAATGTATGGTGTGTGTATAATGTGTGTGTGTCTATAATGTATTGTGTGTCTATAATGTATTGTGTGTCTATAATGTATGGTGTGTGTATAATGTGTGTGTGTCTATAATGTATGGTGTGTGTGTGTCTATAATGTATTGTGTGTGTATAATGTATTGTGTGTCTATAATGTATGGTGTGTGTATAATGTGTGTGTGTCTATAATGTATAATGTGTGTGTGTCTATAATGTATTGTGTGTGTATAATGTATTGTGTGTCTATAATGTATGGTGTGTGTATAATGTGTGTGTGTCTATAATGTATTGTGTGTCTATAATGTATTGTGTGTCTATAATGTATTGTGTGTCTATAATGTATTGTGTGTCTATAATGTATGGTGTGTGTATAATGTGTGTGTGTCTATAATGTATTGTGTGTCTATAATGTATTGTGTGTCTATAATGTTTGGTGTGTGTATAATGTGTGTGTGTCTATAATGTTTGGTGTGTGTATAATGTGTGTGTGTCTAATGTATGGTGTGTCTATAATGTTTGGTGTGTGTATAATGTGTGTGTGTCTAATGTATTGTGTGATGGATGTGACACATGAGAAAGAGTCACTTATGGGACTGTGAGTTTTCATGACACTTTGAAGCAACTTTTGTTAAAGTTAAACTCATCATTCTGTCAGTGCAGAAGGCTCTTCCACCTCATGTTTTGACTCTCTCTGCTGCTCTCTGCTGATCGGAGGACTCTGCTTCTCCTGACTATATATATATATATATATATATATATATATATATATATCTCACTATATATCACCACTGCTGTCATCCTTTGTTTGTGTTGTTCGTGCGTCTCTACCATCAACAATAAAACATGACTTCTGTCTGAATGAAAGACGCGATCCCAGACTTTGTCATCTTCTTCAGGACCTTTAATGTTTGGGTGATACAGCTGTGACTTGCCAAAGGCCTTAAATACTTGATTCTTTGAATATTCTCCATGTTTGTCCAAACCTGCAGCTCTGACTCCGCAGAGCTTTAATCCATCTGCGCCTCTGTCTGCGCCAAACGGCAGCAGTGAAATGTTTAATCTGTAATCTGCGCCGCTGCGTGTGCGTCACAGCCCGGTCACATGATCACATGCCCTCTGCAGAGATCACACCAGTGTGAGCGCTGCCAGACTCTCTGACGTCAATACTACGTAACTCTGTGGGCGGGGCCAGCGCGCTCACTCCCTGACCCGGGATTACAGCTCCACACTGGGGACAGAGGCAGAGGAGGAAGAGGAGGCAGAGGAGGAAGAGGAAGAAGAGGAGCGTTTGTTACTGCTCCGTGGGCATGAGGAGAGACGCGGGTCTGCGGCTGCTTTTCCTCTGAGGTGAATATGACGTCACGACAGCATGCTTTGTGTAAATAGTGCGTAAAATGTTGTGTTGCATCTGATACAGAGTAACTGTAACTGCAGTAAGTAAGTATTTTTATTTATATTTCGCCTTTCACAGACCAGAGTTGCGGTTTATGATTGTGGGCATGAGTATGTCACTCACACAGAGATGGGAGGGGGGAAACCGGAGCACCAGGAGGAAACCTACGCAGACACATGCAAACTCTGCTCAGAACTGCTCAGGCACTGTTCCGACCGGGATTCGAACTCAGGACCTTCTTGCTGAGTAGTGAGAGTGCTAACCACTCAGCTGCAGCTGCACCTGTACCTGTAGCTGCAGCTGTAACTGCAGCTGTAGATGTCGCTGCAGCTGCAGGACGTCAGGATATGATTGCACATACTGTACACGGTGTGTGTTTAATACAGTCTGAGTGGAACAGATCTGTTTGCTCTGTGCTTATAACTAACTAACACAAATGAAACGGACACAAAAGAAGTAAATATTTAATGATGAATATATGTTTCACTTTAGTGTTTTCTCTGAGCTTCCTCTGGTCAAAGGTGTCACCTGGTTCTGTGCATCTGTCCCTCTGAGGTTTAAGTTTATTGTGCACTGTCACTTTAAATAAACTCTTTCCATCTGTGGTTAGACCCTGCAGCTTCAGCTCAGGCTCAGATCCATCTGTGGTGAGACCCTGTGCTTCAGCTCAGGCTCAGATCCATCTGTGGTGAGACCCTGTGCTTCAGCTCAGGCTCAGATCCATCTGTGGTGAGACCCTGTGCTTCAGCTCAGGCTCAGATCCATCTGTGGTGAGACCCTGTGCTTCAGCTCAGGCTCAGATCCATCTGTGGTTAGACCCTGCAGCTTCAGCTCAGGCTCAGATCCATCTGTGGTGAGACCCTGTGCTTCAGCTCAGGCTCAGATCCATCTGTGGTGAGACCCTGTGCTTCAGCTCAGGCTCAGATCCATCTGTGGTGAGACCCTGTGCTTCAGCTCAGGCTCAGATCCATCTGTGGTGAGACCCTGTGCTTCAGCTCAGGCTCAGATCCATCTGTGGTGAGACCCTGTGCTTCAGCTCAGGCTCAGATCCATCTGTGGTGAGACCCTGTGCTTCAGCTCAGGCTCAGATCCATCTGTGGTGAGACCCTGTGCTTCAGCTCAGGCTCAGATCCATCTGTGGTTAGACCCTGCAGCTTCAGCTCAGGCTCAGATCCATCTGTGGTGAGACCCTGTGCTTCAGCTCAGGCTCAGATCCATCTGTGGTGAGACCCTGTGCTTCAGCTCAGGCTCAGATCCATCTGTGGTGAGACCCTGTGCTTCAGCTCAGGCTCAGATCCATCTGTGGTGAGACCCTGTGCTTCAGCTCAGGCTCAGATCCATCTGTGGTGAGACCCTGTGCTTCAGCTCAGGCTCAGATCCATCTGTGGTGAGACCCTGTGCTTCAGCTCAGGCTCAGATCCATCTGTGGTGAGACCCTGTGCTTCAGCTCAGGCTCAGATCCATCTGTGGTGAGACCCTGTGCTTCAGCTCAGGCTCAGATCCATCTGTGGTGAGACCCTGTGCTTCAGCTCAGGCTCAGATCCATCTGTGGTGAGACCCTGTGCTTCAGCTCAGGCTCAGATCCATCTGTGGTGAGACCCTGTGCTTCAGCTCAGGCTCAGATCCATCTGTGGTGAGACCCTGTGCTTCAGCTCAGGCTCAGATCCATCTGTGGTGAGACCCTGTGCTTCAGCTCAGGCTCAGATCCATCTGTGGTGAGACCCTGTGCTTCAGCTCAGGCTCAGATCCACAATAACAGTCTTATTTTCCTCCTGTTTGTAAAGACAAACGGATCACAGAATCAGACTGTCTGCATCGCCATGTTCAGAATCTCAATAATATTGAATTGTGGCCAAATATCACAGTTCTATAGAATCCTGACATTTGTGCCAGTCCCCAGCCCTGATAACGACACAGTCCCTGTGTTTACAACACACAGAACATGGCAGTTCTGCGCTGCGTCATGTGATCACTGCCCCACAGCAGTCCGTTTGACGGCTTCAGAGTTGTGTGCCTTACATCAGCGTCTGTAACATGTTTAGTCTCTATAACTTTGTTCAGCTGTAGTTTATTTCTGTGTCTTTATCTTTTATTAGTCAAATGTGAGTTTTACCATCACCTGCTAAAGAAGTTACCATAGCAACACACTGTTTACTGTTAGCTGTTAGCATTTAGCCTCTGTTGTTTGTATTCATCAGTTTTAGCACTTATTTAAAAGTGAGTAAAGAGTAATAGCTAATCTATGCTCAGGCCAGAGCAGCAGAGGGAGTGACCTACTTCCACAGCCGCACACACAGCCGCACACACAGCCGCACACACAACCGCACACACAGCCATCTGTGGCTCTAAGATCTTTAATGGGCTTAAAGATCCACCACTTACTCTGTTCCACTACGATTCGCCGACAGAGCCGCCACCTCTGACCTCCTGATTATCCTGTGTGGTTATGAGCTGTGGTTATGTAGACAGTCGACAGTCTTCCTGAAAATGTGAGACAGACTTCTTCTCTGACAATGTTCAAATCCAGGTTAGAAACAGTTCTGTTTCTGAAGGATTTCTTCTCTTTTACAAAGAGCTTTGTTTATCTCCAAGAAATCTGCTTCAGCTTCATCCATGAATCCATGATGTACCAGTGCTAACAGAGAGAGCACAGGGGCAGACTGCTGCTCACAGGGACAGAGAGAGCACAGGTGCAGACTGCTGCTCACAGGGACAGAGAGAGCACAGGTGCAGACTGCTGCTCACAGGGACAGAGAGAGCACAGGGGCAGACTGCTGCTCACAGGGACAGAGAGAGCACAGGTGCAGACTGCTGCTCACAGGGACAGAGAGAGCACAGGGGCAGACTGCTGCTCACAGGGACAGAGAGAACACAGGTGCAGACTGCTGCTCACAGGGACAGAGAGAGCACAGGGGCAGACTGCTGCTCACAGGGACAGAGAGAGCACAGGGGCAGACTGCTGCTCACAGGGACAGAGAGAACACAGGGGCAGACTGCAGCTCACAGGGACAGAGAGAGCACAGGTGCAGACTGCTGCTCACAGGGACAGAGAGAGCACAGGGGCAGACTGCTGCTCACAGGGACAGAGAGAGCACAGGGGCAGACTGCTGCTCACAGGGACAGAGAGAGCACAGGTGCAGACTGCTGCTCACAGGGACAGAGAGAGCACAGGGGCAGACTGCTGCTCACAGGGACAGAGAGAGCACAGGTGCAGACTGCTGCTCACAGGGACAGAGAGAGCACAGGTGCAGACTGCTGCTCACAGGGACAGAGAGAGCACAGGGGCAGACTGCTGCTCACAGGGACAGAGAGAGCACAGGGGCAGACTGCTGCTCACAGGGACAGAGAGAGCACAGGTGCAGACTGCTGCTCACAGGGACAGAGAGAGCACAGGGGCAGACTGCTGCTCACAGGGACAGAGAGCACAGGGGCAGACTGCTGCTCACAGGGACAGAGAGAGCACAGGTGCAGACTGCTGCTCACAGGGACAGAGAGAGCACAGGGGCAGACTGCTGCTCACAGGGACAGAGAGAGCACAGGTGCAGACTGCTGCTCACAGGGACAGAGAGAACACAGGGGCAGACTGCTGCTCACAGGGACAGAGAGAGCACAGGTGCAGACTGCTGCTCACAGGGACAGAGAGAGCACAGGGGCAGACTGCTGCTGCTCACAGGGACAGAGAGAGCACAGGTGCAGACTGCTGCTCACAGGGACAGAGAGAGCACAGGTGCAGACTGCTGCTCACAGGGACAGAGAGAGCACAGGGGCAGACTGCTGCTCACAGGGACAGAGAGAGCACAGGTGCAGACTGCTGCTCACAGGGACAGAGAGAGCACAGGGGCAGACTGCTGCTCACAGGGACAGAGAGAGCACAGGGGCAGACTGCTGCTCACAGGGACAGAGAGAGCACAGGTGCAGACTGCTGCTCACAGGGACAGAGAGAGCACAGGTGCAGACTGCTGCTCACAGGGACAGAGAGAGCACAGGGGCAGACTGCTGCTCACAGGGACAGAGAGAGCACAGGTGCAGACTGCTGCTCACAGGGACAGAGAGAGCACAGGTGCAGACTGCTGCTCACAGGGACAGAGAGCACAGGGGCAGACTGCTGCTCACAGGGACAGAGAGAACACAGGGGCAGACTGCTGCTCACAGGGACAGAGAGAGCACAGGTGCAGACTGCTGCTCACAGGGACAGAGAGAGCACAGGTGCAGACTGCTGCTCACAGGGACAGAGAGAGCACAGGGGCAGACTGCTGCTCACAGGGACAGAGAGAGCACAGGGGCAGACTGCTGCTCACAGGGACAGAGAGAACACGGGGGCAGACTGCAGCTCACAGGGACAGAGAGAGCACAGGTGCAGACTGCTGCTCACAGGGACAGAGAGAGCACAGGTGCAGACTGCTGCTCACAGGGACAGAGAGAGCACAGGGGCAGACTGCTGCTCACAGGGACAGAGAGAGCACAGGTGCAGACTGCTGCTCACAGGGACAGAGAGAGCACAGGGGCAGACTGCTGCTCACAGGGACACAGAGAGCACAGGTGCAGACTGCTGCTCACAGGGACAGAGAGAGCACAGGGGCAGACTGCTGCTCACAGGGACAGAGAGAGCACAGGGGCAGACTGCTGCTCACAGGGACAGAGAGAGCACAGGGGCAGACTGCTGCTCACAGGGACAGAGAGAGCACAGGTGCAGACTGCTGCTCACAGGGACAGAGAGAGCACAGGGGCAGACTGCTGCTCACAGGGACAGAGAGAGCACAGGGGCAGACTGCTGCTCACAGGGACAGAGAGAGCACAGGGGCAGACTGCTGCTCACAGGGACAGAGAGAGCACAGGGGCAGACTGCTGCTCACAGGGACAGAGAGAGCACAGGGGCAGACTGCTGCTCACAGGGACAGAGAGCACAGGGGCAGACTGCTGCTCACAGGGACAGAGAGCACATCGCCCCTGTGTGTCTCTCTCTCTGGTCTCTCTCTGGTCTCTCTCTGGTCTCTCTCTGGTCTCTCTCTGGTCTCTCTCTGGTCTCTCTATGGTCTCTCTCTGGTCTATCTCTGGTCTCTCTCTCTGGTCTCTCTCTGGTCTCTCTCTGGTCTCTCTCTGGTCTCTCTCTGGTCTCTCTCTGGTCTCTCTCTGGTCTCTCTCTCTGGTCTCTCTCTGGTCTCTCTCTGGTCTCGCTCTGGTCTCTCTCTGGTCTCTCTCTCTGGTCTCGCTCTGGTCTCTCTCTCTGGTCTCTCTCTCTAGTCTCTCTCTCTGGTCTCTCTCTGGTCTTTCTCTGGTCTTTCTCTGGTCTCTCTCTCTAGTCTCTCTCTCTGGTCTCTCTCTGGTCTCTCTCTGGTCTCGCTCTGGTCTCGCTCTGGTCTCTCCCTGGTCTCTCTCTCTGGTCTTTCTCTGGTCTCTCTCTGGTCTCTCGCTCTGGTCTCTCTCTCTGGTCTCTCTCTCTAGTCTCTCTCTCTGGTCTCTCACTGGTCTCGCTCTGGTCTCTCCCTGGTTTCTCTCTGGTTTCTCTCTGGTCTCTCTCTGGTCTCTCTCTGGTCTCTCTCTGGTCTCTCTCTGGTCTCTCTCTGGCCTCTCTCTGGTCTCTCTCTGGTCTCTCTCTGGTCTCTCTCTGGTCTCTCTCTGGTCTCTCTCTTGTCTCTCTCGTGTCTCTCTCTGGTCTCTCTCTGGTCTCTCTCTGGTCTCTCTCTGGTCTCTCTCTGGTCTCTCTCTGGTCTCTCTCTGGTCTCTCTCTCTGGTATCTCTCTGGTCTCTCTCTGGTCTCTCTCTGGTCTCTCTCTGGTCTCTCTCTCTGTTCTTCTTCGTGGGAGATATTTAAGTCCAGCTGTTATTTGTTTCTGTGTCAGTCGTTGCCTGTGAAGTGCTTTGAGCTGCTGTTGTAAATGTGCTATACTAATAAATCTGACATGTATCTATAAACAAACCTGTCTGTCTTCTCCAGTGGATCACACACACATGCCCCCGACTCTGGTGCTGGAGGGCATGGACCCCTGCGCAGCCCCTGCGCCCTCCTCGCTGATGCTGGAGGGGCCCTCAGTGGGTCCCTCAATGACGCTGATGCAGGAGGGGCCCTCTTTGGGGCCCTCGGTGTCTATCATGAAGGCGGGACCCTTGGTGGAACCCTCGATGGGACCCTCAGTGACACTGATGAAGGCGGGGCCCTCGATGGGACCCTCAGTGACACTGATGAAGGCGGGGCCCTCGGTGGGACCCTCAGTGACACTGATGAAGGCGGGGCCCTCGGTGGGACCCTCAGTGACACTGATGAAGGCGGGGCCCTCGGTGGGACCCTCAGTGACACTGATACAGGCGGGGCCCTCGGTGGGACCCTCAGTGACACTGATGAAGGCGGGGCCCTCGGTGGGACCCTCACTGACACTGATAAAGGCAGGGCCCTCTTTGGGTCCCCTGGCGGGGCCCCCTTTGGGGCCCTCGGTGTGGAGGCTGTCTGGCCGCAGCAGGAAGGCGGGCTCGGCTAACATCTTCAGCTCGGTGCATCTGTGGCAGCTGCAGAGACTGTTCAGAGCCGCAGGAGACCAGGACGCAGAGCAGAGGGCCCAGCTGGTGTGGGGCCAGGGGGACGAGGGGGGCCTCGCACAGGCCCTCATCGCTCTGAGGTCCAGAGGACACAGGAGGGGCCTGAGGAGCAGAGGCCGAGACGTCCTGCAGGGGGCGCACTGGATCAGAGCCTTCAACCACCTCAGGTAAACCATGTGTGTGTGTAACCATGTGTGGGTCTAAACCATGTGTGTGTCTAAACCATGTGTGTGTGTAACCATGTGTGTATCTAAAACATGTGTGTGTCTAAACCATGTGTGTGTGTAACCATGTGTGTATCTAAACCATGTGTGTGTCTAAACCATGTGTGTGTCTAAACCATGTGTGTGTGTAACCATGTGTGTATCTAAACCATGTGTGTGTCTAAACCATGTGTGTGTGTGTAACCATGTGTGTATCTAAACCATGTGTTTGTCTAAACCATGTGTGTGTGTAACCATGTGTGTATCTAAACCATGTGTGTATCTAAACCATGTGTGTGTCTATACCATGTGTGTATCTATACCATGTGTGTGTCTAAACCATGTGTGTGTCTATACCATGTGTGTATCTAAATTATGTGTGTGTCTATACCATGTGTGTATCTATACCATGTGTGTGTCTAAACCATGTGTGTGTCTAAACCATGTGTGTGTCTATACCATGTGTGTATCTAAACCATGTGTGTATCTAAACCATGTGTGTGTCTAAACCATGTGTGTGTCTAAACCATGTGTGTGTCTATACCATGTGTATTTTTCTCTGTTACAGGATTGGAGAGAGCTCAGGCCAGACTGGGACTGAGCCAGAGGAGACCAGAGACCCAGAAACCAGTCCACCTGGTCTGTCTGTCCCATCACCTCCCTCACCTCCCTCCCCCCCAGGAGCCAGAGAGGAGCAGGGCCCGGGGGAGCGTCTGGGCAGGAGCATGGGGGTCAGGAGAGGAGGGGGCGAAGCCGACAGATACCTCCACCGCATCCTCCACTGACACCAGCACTGGGATTACTCTGGGATTACTCTGGGATTACTCTGGGATTACTCTGGGATTACTCTGAGAATTCTTGTGTTTCATTAAACTGGCCTGTAGGGGGCGCATGAGCATAGGTGGGACAGTGTTGCTCCCATGTAAAACCATGTAAAGTCTGTTTTGGAGTCAGAGGCTCTCCTCCTGTGCGGTGTACGGTTGTTGGAACAGTCTTAATCGGGGACACTCAATTCTAAGGAAGGACTAACAAATATTTCTCAAAAGAGTCTTGATTTTGGGCATTTTTGGAAAGAAAAACAGAAGAAATGGCTGCGTTTCATTGGGGAGGCCTGCAGGGGGCGCATATCTGGGAAAGCCTTGATCCACCTCCGCCTCATTCCAGTGATTTTGTCAAAGTGTCCTTTATATGAGACCACAGTTGGAACATGAACAAACTCTGTCTTTCTCTTTATTTGTGCGGTTGCTACAAGCGTACACCACAAAAAGATGGTGTTCTGACCAGTGGGGGAGGGTCCCGGCTCAAAAGTGTCCAAAATGACGTGCGCTGACATGCTGCAATACCACCCCGGGCCTGTGGGGGTGGACCCAGAAGAAGAATTAGCCAATGCTAACATATAGCGTTGGCATCTTCTCGAAAACGTCTTTACAGGATGGTCCAAAAGTTGTCTCTTGGCCCAAAGCTCCGTTCCACATGTGTGTCAATGCTGAGGGGGGTGTTTTGGTCCACTCTAGTTTACTTGAATTACTGAATAGTTCAAATGAATGGATCTGCGCCGACTGACGCATGCGCAGATGTGTTTTATCACAATTTTCTTGTGGGCGGGACCACTCGCGGCCATTTTGGATTGCTCCATGAAAGCACTTTTCATGGCCAACTCCTATGAACGGCGGAGATAGGCGTGACTCTGTCCGTTAATATATACAGTCTATGGTTTTGACAGAGCTTCTTCTTCTACTGTATCTCCGTGTATAACCCGGCAGACTGCAGCGCCAGGATACCTCACGTTATATGAAACCCAAGAACACTCTGAGATTACTCTGAGATTACTCTGAGAAAACTCTGAGATTATTCTGAGATTACTCTGAGATTACTCTGAGGTTACTCTGAGGTTACTCTGAGAATACTCTGAGGTTACTCTGAGAATACTCTGAGAATACTCTGAGAATACTCTGAGATTACTCTGAGGTTACTCTGAGAATACTCTGAGATTACTCTGAGATTACTCTGAGGTTACTCTGAGATTACTCTGAGATTACTCTGAGATTACAAAAGCAAAACGATGGGGAAAACTACAATTATGGCCCTGTACCTGATCGTCTTAAAACCATCAAAACAACTCCTTTACAATTTGCAGAAGTTCTGTGAAGTAAAGCTGGGGTACCTGAGTTTCAAACCACAAGCAAAGTAATTCAGGTCAAGTATTTTGTGTATAGTTTTCAGAGGACTTTACAAAACCCTGTGGAAAACTATTCACTACGTAATAATAAAAACATCTTGGTTCAATCACTAGTTTCCTCATGCCCTACCGCCCTCCCTCAGCCAATCAGCTCCCAGCCAATCAGCTCCCAGCCAATCAGCTCTCAGCCAAACAGCTCTCAGCCAATCAGCTCTCAGCCAATCAGCTCTCAGCCAATCAGCTCTTAGCCAAACAGCTCTCAGCCAATCAGCTCTCAGCCAAACAGCTCTCAGCCAATCAGCTCCCAGCCAATCAGCTCTCAGCCAAACAGCTCTCAGCCAATCAGCTCTCAGCCAATCAGCTCTCAGCCAATCAGCTCTTAGCCAAACAGCTCTCAGCCAATCAGCTCTCAGCCAAACAGCTCTCAGCCAATCAGCTCCCAGCCAATCAACTCTCAGCCAATCAACTCTCGGCCAATCAGCTCTCGGCCAATCAGCTCTTAGCCAATCAGCTCTCAGCCAATCAGCTCCCAGCAAATCAGCTCTCAGCCAATCAACTCTCAGCCAATCAACTCCCAGCCAATCAGCTCTCAGCCAATCAGCTCTCAGCCAATCAACTCTCAGCCAATCAGCTCTCAGCCAATCAACTCTCAGCCAATCAGCTCTCAGCCAATCAGCTCTCGGCCAATCAGCTCTCAGCTCACAGAGTTGACTCTCTGGGATGTTCTTACAGTGATACAAAGGATGAGGTCTTTTGTTCTGATTGTGGAACAAGTACGGTTTGAGAGTTACACGGAGTAAAGAAAGTTACATACCCCAGCTTTAACCCTAACATTACTTGTAAATATTAATTTACGGTGTTTTACTGAACTGTTCATTTGTTTGGATGAAACAGAAATTAATTAATTGAGAAAAACTTTGGATTAGCCCTGATATAACGATAGATCCATGATTAGCCCTCACTAATTAACAGCTACGTGCTAATTGTGTAACGCTAACCCACATGTGAACGTTAATGTAGAAAAAGTGTTCAATAAAAAACAATGAGAGCTAATTAACCATGTATTATCCAGTAGTTAGCACTTCTTGCCTGTATTAGGTTTAGAGATATTATGTAATGCTAATGCTAATGAATAATAATAATGTTGAGCTCACTACGGCTTCAGCCTCTCATTAATACATTTAGCAGTTCTTTGAAAAGTAACTTAGAAATTAGAATAATACACTGGAAACCAAATTCTTTAACATCATTGTTTTAAACTGTTTAAAATACAGGCGTCTCCTGATCCAGTAAAATGCTAACATGCTAACATGCTAATGCCATGTGTTGAAATAACATATATTTCTATAATTCATTTCTGATGCTGACTTTTGTAAATAATATTTTTAAGGTAGTCTTATACATTTATTATTAATCATTGCTATTGTTCCCCTTAGACTCAGAATGGACGGACATCTTTATCTCAGTTCAGTATTTAAAGAGAACTTTTGAGAGATTGTGGTGAACTGATGCCTTATCATTTTAAACAAACACTAAAGCTGCCGAAAAACATGTATTCTGAGTTTACAGAGTTTTCATACATTTTTACTCTGAGAATAAACCTGCAAAACCAGAGCTTCTGTGTGTTTTTGACGTGTTCTTGATTTAGCTGATAATAATAATAATAATAATAACATTGCATCTGTTTATGTGGCGTTTTCTACACCCTCAAAGACACTTCACATTATTGTTCTCTCGCTCTATACTTAGTGGAGATTAAATACTACTGGTTCGAGCTGCAGTGGGTGACCTCTACAGCTAAGCAGGGCAGAACCTGGTTTGTGCTGTGATGGGAGACCTTTGGGAACACCAACCACAGTGGGGCGGCTGTATGGCGTCAAAATAGGGTCTGCTTAAACGTAACCGTAAAGCAGGAATTGTAAACGTAGGTTGTAGTATTGTAAACATTAAAAATATATTGTAAATGAAAAAAATTAAAACTTACATTTACGGTTCTGATTTTTCATGTTCCGCTTCAAAAGTTACGCTTACGATTCACAAGTTACGTTTACGAGTCAAAACTTACGGTTACGATACATTTTTCATCTGACCCCTGTTTGGAGGGGCGGGCTCAGCGCGCCCATTGGCTGGAGAGACCGGATGTTACGTCATCACAAAAGCAAAACACACACCATTCAAAATTCAAGTCTCGTTCGAACTCTCTACATCGTATGATTGATCACATTTTTTCAACTGGGCTGGCTATTATAGGCTTTCACGTGGTATGTGCACTCTTGTGGACACCCTAATTACACCAGGTCATGTTTAGATCGTGTGAAATATGCTCTCGTAATAACGTCATATGCCTATGTTGCCCCCAGGCTAGCCAGCTAAGCTACACCTCGGGACCTTCATCACCGCTGTACGTTGTTCACACTGAATGCTTTGTCATGTCAGGATTATCTACTGCTATCAAAGGTGAATAAAACTATGTCTTTGATTTTTTGTTTGCTTATTATTTACATAATTATAGCGGCTTACCTAATGAGCCCATGCTAGCTAGCAATGAATCTGTCAGTCCATAACCTGTACATAAAGTTTTGAAACAAATGAGGTAACTAGCTGAATGATTAAACAAATCTGTGAAACTTGCTAAATAGTACGTTCCATTGGCTTCATGATATCTTATCAAAATTAACTTAAAGTTAAGTAGCTCAAATCGGGGCTAACCTGTTAAGGCCATTAATTTTACGATATTTGGCTACTGTACCTGTACTGTGTTTGCTAATTTAGGATGGTTAAGATTCCTAAAATCACACAGAAACTCTGTATAGTTCTGATCTTGCAGGTTATCTCTGCGATGGGCACCAGCACCACACATTGCAGACCAGCAAGATGTAAAACTGTGGTTTTATAATAATCTATATAAATGTGATGTATTTTCATGTCTTAGGGACCATGTCTGCAAATGAAGTGCTAGCTATACAGCCTATGAACATGGTATCGGCCACCTGTATCAATACTTTTAGTTCTGTGCCTATCAAATAAACATATAATAGCACTATTCTCACAGAACAGTGGGTTGTAGATAGGAGTAAATGGCCGTCTGTTACCTGGCCTAATATCTATAACTTCTTCATTCAGACATACAGTGTTTATACCTGACTGACCTCCTCCAGATCTCCACACCTGCCCGCTCCCTCCGCTCCTCCTCCTCTCCAGCTCTTGGTCCCTCCTGCCCCTCTGCTCCTCCTATCCTCTCCAGCTCTTGGTCCCTCCTGCCCCTCTGCTCCTCCTATCCTCTCCAGCTCTTGGTCCCTCCTGCCCCTCTGCTCCTCCTATCCTCTCCAGCTCTTGGTCCCTCCTGCCCCTCTGCTCCTCCTATCCTCTCCAGCTCTTGGTCCCTCCTGCCCCTCTGCTCCTCCTATCCTCTCCAGCTCTTGGTCCCTCCTGCCCCTCTGCTCCTCCTCCTCCTCTCCAGCTCTTGGTCCCTCCTGCCCGCCTTTTCACCATGTTGAATAGAGCCTCTCCAAATCCACCCTCAAAACTCATCTGTTTAGACAAGCCCACTCACTAACATCATAACCACACTCTCCTCTCTCCATGATGCTTTTAACTGTTTTTAAAATACACTTTTTTTACTTGGTTGTAAGGCAAAAACAAATTATTAAAAACAAAAAAAACATAGCATATAGATCTATAAATACATACAATTATGTGGACATGTGAAATACTTCCACTCTGGGACTGAGTTCTTTGTTTTGAGGCTGATGTGCTCCCAGTCAGAGAGTGGGCATTAAGTCAGTACGTCCACAAAGACTCGGTACATCCTTACCCTGAACTGTTCCTGTATGGCAGGGTATGGACATGTAACTTGCTTTTAATGTTCAATTACAGTCTTAACCTGGTGCACACCCATTAACCCCTTTATTAGTGTAATCTGCGTTATGTTTTATGTTCTGCGCTGTCTGAAGAAGGAGCAGGACACAAGGAGGACCACTGAATGACATTTACTAGTAGCTCTGCACAAAATAAAACACATCCACTTCACGTCTATCCATGCATTCAGCTCAGCAGTCCCCTCCTCAGATGCAAGGCACAGTTCTCCTGATAAAGGGAAAAAGCCACATTAATAAGTAGTTACTACATTTTGAGTGGTATACGGGTTGATCACTTTTGTTCTCCAGTTATCTTTGTATTAATGGTAAAAAGACAAGTTTGTGATTTTAGCTCTAAAATATAGAGTGCTCTTCATCCACTCACAGTATCAGTATTGTTGTGACTAGAAGGCTACGCAGGCTCACTTATGAACAACTGGTTAGTTATTTGAAGACTGTTTCTCCTCAGACTAAAACGAAGGAGCCTCCCTAGCTACTTATTTAGCAAAACAGCTAATGTTAGCATTTTAGAAACGTCAGCTGTTTGTTATAGCGGCGCTATAAGTGAGCTGGCTTTAACTTGACTGATCATGATTAAATCAGGTAGCAGCGGGTTCTCTTCTTATAGCGACATGATGTAACCACGTGATCACTTATGGGTTGGAGTTGGACTCTTTCATTATTAGCTTCTGTAGGACACAGACACTTACCAGCTATGAAGTTTGCTCTTAGCATTTATGTACGCAGGTCTCCGTAGATGGCCCGAAGCCTGTTCTTCGTCTTCTGTAGTAACCAGACTGTAAAGATTGTAGCAACGTGCGTATGTTTTGCTTTTGTAACATCCGGTGTCTCCAGCCAATGGGCGCGCTGAGCCCGCCCCTCCAAAAAGGGGTCAGATGAAAAATGTATCGTAACCGTAAGTTTTGACTCGTAAACGTAACTTTTGAAGCGAAACATGAAAAATCAGAACCGTAAATGTAAGTTTTAATTTTTTTCATTTACAATATATTTTTAATGTTTACAATACTACAACCTACGTTTACAATTCCTGCTTTACGGTTACGTTTAAGCAGACCCTATTTTGACGCCATACAGCTGCGGCTGTAAAGTGCCAAACTGTGGTTGTGTCCTTAAGCAAGACACTTCCCCCACATTAGAATGAGTCTGGTGTGTGTGAGTGGTTGGTGGTGGGAGGTGTGGTGTAATCGTGTTGTTATACAGTTATAAAACAAGTAGCCACTAAAGGGTTGACCTGAGAACGTGAATAAAGAGGCTCCATGAGGACGACCCAAAGCAGTGTTATGTGAACCCACCGCAGCAGGAGGGGCCGGGAAAAGCACTGTGGAAAACTGGATAAAAGTCCCTTCAGTGTGAGTCTTCTACACCCACCACCGTCCTAACCACAGGGGAACTCTCGGGAAACATAATCTGTGTTACAATATGTTTTAAACTCGACCAAAATAATAAACAGAACAACAACAAGCAAAGATTATTATTTTTCCCGCCCCTCAACCAAGTGAACAAATCAGCGTCCTTACTCTCTGCATTCTGATTGGCCGTGGCGCCTGTCCATCACTCTATGCCTCCTGATTGGTCGTGGTGCCTGTCCATCACGCTCTGGGGCGGTTCCTCCAGAGCAGCTGTCAGATCCATCTGAATCAGGGCTCTCCTCCGGGTTCAGAGCAGCCCCAGAGCCGCGCTCCCTGGTCTCTCTCTGGTCTCTCTCTGGTCTCTCTCTGGTCTCTCTCTGGACTCTCTCTGGACTCTCCCTGGACTCTCCCTGGACTCTCCCTGGACTCTCTCTGGACCATGACAGCCACATAGAGACCCCGGGTAAGCTCAGCACAGTGTGGCCGTGAGTGAGACGCAGAAGCTGATGCCAGATGTGGACGCGGAAGTCGTGATGTTTTTAGCATTAGCTCAGGCTAGCCCAGTCTGCTGCAGGCGCGTGCTGATGCTGATGCAGGAGCTAGCTTTAGCTGTATGGGCGTTACTGTTTACCTGGGTGTTTCCCTGTTCTGCTCAGAACTGTAGCTCTTCTAGTAATGACTGTAGAGAATATCCATCAAAACCTTTTCATATATTAATTATTCAGAGCGAGCTGCTTATTCATGCTTATTATTAGCCACATATCATGCATTTGTGTCCATGTTTACTACCTATGCATCAGCTGTTCGATGCTCAGCAGACTGATACAGTCACAAAACTGACAATATAATAGTACAAAACCATGATTATTGGAAAACAACAAATGCTCTCAAAACTATCAGTTATTTTTAACTTTATATATTTGGATTATTTCAATTTGAATGATCTCCTTTTTACTCCTAATGTATGTCACTAGCTGTGTTTTGAGGTTTTTCATGTATTTTTCGTTCATGTTTATGTAACAGTTATCACTTTGATTGTCCTTAAAGCTACTTATAACAATTACATGATGTCCCAAAGTATTAACCCAAAGTAGTTTCAGGAGCTTCATCCTGTGAAAGAGTGGATGTGAGGGTTAGGTTTATGTTATAATGAAGCTTAAGCGGAGGTTCAGGATGTTAGACTACCTCCGTTATCACACCAGGACCAGGCCTTACTCGTGTCAATCAAGCCAGCGTTTAAAAGCAAAGCAGAGCACAGCTCATCAAACAGCCTTTCAAGCTGCAACCACCTCCACCTCACCTCCACCTCCCCACCTTTCTTCACTCTCACATTCACCTTGCCTTGTTGGCACCACCAGTGTTTAGGCCCCGGGGGATCATGATCTGCCTCAGGCGCAGATCCCTACAGAGCACGGCCACATCCAGGGCCTAAGCTCCAAACCAATGAACAAACTCAATCCATAAAATCTCAAACGCATAAAGATCTCTTAAACGCATCTTGTCTCTTGTAGTCTCTCCATGTTGACATGTTTTTCTGTAAACTCCTTCATTACTCCCCACAGTCTGCGCCTGCAGCCGGTGCCTTCGACATCATGGAGACTGCAAACAGCTTTGTATTGATCCATGGAAAGAACATCTCCCACAGTGCTGCGGCGGGGGGCACGGCAGGACCCCCCATGTCCATAGACAAGCTGTTTCCGGCCCTGCTGGAGTGCTTCGGCATCATCCTGTGCGGCTACATCGCAGGGAGGGCGGACATCATCACAGAGAGCCAGGCCAAGGGACTGGGGAACTTTGTGTCTAAGTTTGCTCTTCCTGCGCTGCTGTTTAAGAACATGGTGCTGCTGGACTTTGGAGACGTCATCTGGGCCTTTCTGTGGAGTGTGCTGGTGGCCAAGGTCAGCTGGTACTTCACTGTCCTAATCCTAGCATTATAAAACAGTGTTAAACTTATACTTTAAACCGTTTTTAAAGCAGCTGAAATGTGCAGACATCAGCTTCAGTTCAAACTTGGTTCAAGTATTGTTTTTCAAATGGAACACTCACAATTCATCTGGTTGATTATAACTTCTAAAACTTATCTTGAGTTGCATCATAATCATAGTGTTAATCAAAAACTGGAGGAACTCTTCTCAACTTCAGCCTCAAGTTCTCATTAGATATACTTACTGCTACAGAGGGAAAATATCCATTCTGTTCAGAATCGCAATATTTTGCACATTCACTAATCAATACTGGAGAGTAAACTAGTCTAATATTGAATTAAATAAATGTCAGTTTCACTGTTGTCTGTTGTATGTGAATAATGTGCTGAGACTCTCTTCATGTGAGAGTCGTCTGTTCACAGAATGATGATGTGTTTGCTTCATGTACCATAACAAAAGTCTTATGTTCCTCTGTTTTTGTCTTTGAATAATATGAGGGACAAGAATCACAATATATCCCAGAATCACACTGTCTGTATCGCGATATGTAAAGAATCACAATAATATTATCGATGTCAACATTTGTGCCTGATCCAGCTCCAACTACTACTGTCCTCAGATCGTTCCTGTTATTATTATTATTATTATTATTATATGTCATGTAAAAACAGAGTGATAATTGTGTTGTTTTGGGGCTGTTTTGGGGTTGCCAGGTCACAGTGTTCGTCCTGGTGTGTGTGCTGACTCTGGTGGTTGCCAGTCCTGAGAGCAGGTACAGTAAGGCCGGCCTCTACGCCATCTTTGCCACGCAGAGCAACGACTTCGCTCTGGGCTACCCCATAGGTGAGGCCACGCCCCCACCCACACTACTGTCCCTGTGAAGGAGGTGTGCAGACAGGAGGAGGTACTGAAGGAGGTGTGCAGACAGGAGGAGGTACTGAAGGAGGTGTGCAGACAGGAGGAGGTACTGAAGGAGGTGTGCAGACAGGAGGAGGTACTGAAGGAGGTGTGCAGACAGGAGGAGGTACTGAAGGAGGTGTGCAGACAGGAGGAGGTACTGAAGGAGGTGTGCAGACAGGAGGAGGTACTGAAGGAGGTGTGCAGACAGGAGGAGGTACTGAAGGAGGTGTGCAGACAGGAGGAGGTACTGAAGGAGGTGTGCAGACAGGAGGAGGTACTGAAGGAGGTGTGCAGAGAGGAGGAGGTCCTGAAGGAGGTGTGCAGACAGGAGGAGGTCCTGAAGGAGGTGTGCAGACAGGAGGAGGTACTGAAGGAGGTGTGCAGACAGGAGGAGGTACTGAAGGAGGTGTGCAGACAGGAGGAGGTACTGAAGGAGGTGTGCAGACAGGAGGAGGTACTGAAGGAGGTGTGCAGACAGGAGGAGGTACTGAAGGAGGTGTGCAGACAGGAGGAGTACTGAAGGAGGTGTGCAGACAGGAGGAGGTACTGAAGGAGGTGTGCAGACAGGAGGAGGTACTGAAGGAGGTGTGCAGACAGGAGGAGGTACTGAAGGAGGTGTGCAGACAGGAGGAGGTACTGAAGGAGGTGTGCAGACAGGAGGAGGTACTGAAGGAGGTGTGCAGACAGGAGGAGGTACTGAAGGAGGTGTGCAGACAGGAGGAGGTACTGAAGGAGGTGTGCAGACAGGAGGAGGTACTGAAGGAGGTGTGCAGACAGGAGGAGGTACTGAAGGAGGTGTGCAGACAGGAGGAGTACTGAAGGAGGTGCAGACAGAGAGTGAAGGAGGTGTGCAGACAGGAGGAGGTACTGAAGGAGGTGTGCAGACAGGAGGAGGTACTGAAGGAGGTGTGTACAGACAGGAGGAGGTACTGAAGGAGGTGTGCAGACAGGAGGAGGTACTGAAGGAGGTGTGCAGACAGGAGGAGGTACTGAAGGAGGTGTGCAGACAGGAGGAGGTACTGAAGGAGGTGTGCAGACAGGAGGAGGTACTGAAGGAGGTGTGCAGACAGGAGGAGGTACTGAAGGAGGTGTGCAGACAGGAGGAGGTACTGAAGGAGGTGTGCAGACAGGAGGAGGTACTGAAGGAGGTGTGCAGACAGGAGGAGGTACTGAAGGAGGTGTGCAGACAGGAGGAGGTACTGAAGGAGGTGTGCAGACAGGAGGAGGTACTGAAGGAGGTGTGCAGACAGGAGGAGGTACTGAAGGAGGTGTGCAGACAGGAGGAGGTACTGAAGGAGGTGTGCAGACAGGAGGAGGTACTGAAGGAGGTGTGCAGACAGGAGGAGGTACTGAAGGAGGTGTGCAGACAGGAGGAGGTACTGAAGGAGGTGTGCAGACAGGAGGAGGTACTGAAGGAGGTGTGCAGACAGGAGGAGGTACTGAAGGAGGTGCAGACAGAGGAGTACTGAAGGAGGTGTGCAGACAGGAGGAGGGAGGTGTGCAGACAGGAGGAGGTACTGAAGGAGGTGTGCAGACAGGAGGAGGTACTGAAGGAGGTGTGTGCAGACAGGAGGAGGTACTGAAGGAGGTGTGCAGACAGGAGGAGGTACTGAAGGAGGTGTGCAGACAGGAGGAGGTACTGAAGGAGGTGTGCAGACAGGAGGAGGTACTGAAGGAGGTGTGCAGACAGGAGGAGGTACTGAAGGAGGTGTGCAGACAGGAGGAGGTACTGAAGGAGGTGTGCAGACAGGAGGAGGTACTGAAGGAGGTGTGCAGACAGGAGGAGGTACTGAAGGAGGTGTGCAGACAGGAGGAGGTACTGAAGGAGGTGTGCAGACAGGAGGAGGTACTGAAGGAGGTGTGCAGACAGGAGGAGGTACTGAAGGAGGTGTGCAGACAGGAGGAGGTACTGAAGGAGGTGTGCAGACAGGAGGAGGTACTGAAGGAGGTGTGCAGACAGGAGGAGGTACTGAAGGAGGTGTGCAGACAGGAGGAGGTACTGAAGGAGGTGTGCAGACAGGAGGAGGTACTGAAGGAGGTGTGCAGACAGGAGGAGGTACTGAAGGAGGTGTGCAGACAGGAGGAGGTACTGAAGGAGGTGTGCAGACAGGAGGAGGTACTGAAGGAGGTGTGCAGACAGGAGGAGGTACTGAAGGAGGTGTGCAGACAGGAGGAGGTACTGAAGGAGGTGTGCAGACAGGAGGAGGTACTGAAGGAGGGTGTGCAGACAGGAGGAGGTACTGAAGGAGGTGTGCAGACAGGAGGAGGTACTGAAGGAGGTGTGCAGACAGGAGGAGGTACTGAAGGAGGTGTGCAGACAGGAGGAGGTACTGAAGGAGGTGTGCAGACAGGAGGAGGTACTGAAGGAGGTGTGCAGACAGGAGGAGGTACTGAAGGAGGTGTGCAGACAGGAGGAGGTACTGAAGGAGGTGTGCAGACAGGAGGAGGTACTGAAGGAGGTGTGCAGACAGGAGGAGGTACTGAAGGAGGTGTGCAGACAGGAGGAGGTACTGAAGGAGGTGTGCAGACAGGAGGAGGTACTGAAGGAGGTGTGCAGACAGGAGGAGGTACTGAAGGGGTGTGCAGACAGGAGGAGGTACTGAAGGAGGTGTGCAGACAGGAGGAGGTACTGAAGGAGGTGTGCAGACAGGAGGAGGTACTGAAGGAGGTGTGCAGACAGGAGGAGGTACTGAAGGAGGTGTGCAGACAGGAGGAGGTACTGAAGGAGGTGTGCAGACAGGAGGAGGTACT